ATGGCTGGGCACAAAGCCAGTCATGGAATGATGGCGTTTGGGGACGTAACAGTACTATGGGGAAGGAAAAATTGACTCAACTGGGGGTGTGTTAGGGTACAGGTTCCAGGGTCCCAGCGGCACAGCGCCCCCCAGGAAATCCTACCCCCCCCCCCCTCCTCCCGGGCTTGGAGGTAGGTCGCTCTTGTCAGTAGCTATCACTAAGAAAAGGTTTAAGGTTTAAGGTTTATCATGCCGCTCCGGTCAGAAGCCAAGGTCTTGTCTGCGTCAACGGCCTTTCGTATTCGGCTTTTTTAAAAAAGGTGATGACCTGAAAATTACTTGTGAGTCAGGTTATCTCTTATTGATGGGATTAGGGTTTTGCAAGAGACTGTCCCTCCCACGTTAACCGACTTTCAATAAGTATACGTACATAGTCACTGTTCAAACCCTTCAGCTAAGATGACCATCTTGACAAGAATTTGCCCTGGAAGGTAGCATATGTGTACTTATCTGATAACTTGGTTAAATCACAGAGCTTTCACTCACACGAGACCTTTCTTTATCCGGTAATCGTTGACTGGTGTAACCGTGTCTAGGTACGGTATAGCATATGGCCTACTCTAAAACCGCCGCAGGAAGTTCTGGAATGATCAACACTGGTAAGTTGTAAGCTAAGGAGGTAACCTGTTAGGGTAGACTCGTATAAGCATGGAATGATTAGTAGAGGAGATGACTATGAAAGACGGCTAACATCAAGGTAAAAACAACGGAGCTGCAGTTTATGTTGGGAACTCCCTGATGGTACACAATCTTTTTTTTTTTCTTTGTTGACAAATTGAGACTGAATATAGATTGATACGACATTTTTATTGGTTAAGATCAAAATGATAGGAAGTGCACCGTCAAGTTTTGAAGAACATAGCCGTGAAGATTAGCAGTCCTCTACTTTTTACTACCTTGGAGTGGAGTTGTAAAATGATGTGTTGATTCTTAACGGATGAAGAATATTTTTTCAAATACACACATCAGAAGAGAGAGAGCGGAGTGGATTATGCGTATGTTGCTTTAAGTGGATTAGTATAAGTCTATAGTTGATTATAAGTGATTAAGAAGATTCGTAAAATCCTAAGCGGATTTGTAAATAATATAAACTGACGTAAGTTATAAGATGTCGAGTGGAATCATCATGAACTTGAGTAGATACGGTAAAATATGGAGTTGATTCGGAGGGGTGGGTATCCGTACGAAGACATTTAGCGGCACTTGCTGATGAAGTGGCTTTTTACAACGTAAGGGGTTTTAAACACATTGCTTAGAAAAACAATTGATATAGATAAGATCTGATATGTTAAGATCTGTTAACTGTAGCACCGGTCACCTCGGTAAGGGCCACCTCTCTACAACGACCACTTTTTTCGTTCCGGCGGACAAAAATCCATACATTGACTCTTGTTTAAAACCTCTCTACAACGGACACTTCTTTTACAATAGCCACTTTCTTTTTGTCCCCAAGGTGGCCATTGTAGCTAAGAGGTTCAATTGTAGTTCTAATATAACAGTTTAGTCACAGAGCCAAGATAAAAAACGAAAGAAGTAGTAGAAGAAGGAAAAATAAATAAAAAACCAGAAGAATTTCCCGCGTGTATGCTAGGTTCGGACAAAAAATCAGTTGAGTGCTTGGATTGTTGTCGATTTCCTCAAGAAAACGAAACATTTGATGAAGGGATGTAGGTACATAGAGAATAAACCAAAGGCATTTTCTTTAATTGCTATGTCCTACGCCACCTTACCGCTTCCGTAAAAAAATAAAATGCAACAAAATAAAAGAATAAATGAAATAAAATAAACTATGTTTCAGCACCGTCTTCTACAATTAACACCTCTAGGTTACTGAAAGAGGACAATTCAAATAAATTAATGAAGGAAAATTAATAAAGCAAGCAAACAAACAAACATTAAAACAAACCAAAAGGAAAAAAAAAAAAAAACAGTACGCTAGGATTGCAGTCTCAGACACAGAGAACAAGTTGACCCGATTTTCTTTCCACACTTTGTTAATTAATTCATTGTAAATCTGAGGACAAATAAAGGTGATGCATGTGTATTCATTTATTTCCTATCCCTGGTAAAAAGACCTACGGAGGNAAAAAAAAAAAAAACAGTACGCTAGGATTACAGTCTCAGACACAGAGAACAAGTTGACCCGATTTTCTTTCCACACTTTGTTAATTAATTCATTGTAAATCTGAGGACAAATAAAGGTGATGCATGTGTATTCATTTATTTCCTATCCCTGGTAAAAAGACCTACGGAGGTGCATTACTGTAATGTATTATATTGTTAATGTTTTTTCGAAGCACATCCACGCCTAAGATTCTTGATCGAATCAATACATTTTCCGAGATTTTGGTTCGAAGAGATCCTGGCGGGTAAAAGAAAACCTCTCGAAATAGGAGTAAGAACCTCCTGGCCTCGCGCGACCACGCGTAGCGTCGTTACAAAACCATAACTAGAGCTAGGGCGAGCGTTTTCACTACAGGGTCACCAGCTGCTTCGATGCTAGCTGCTTAGCAGGCGCTTGGAAGTAGAGGGCACAGGAAAAAACGCGCACGCGAGAAAGAGACACGCGAGCGTCTCCTTCGCGCGCGCACGTTCTCTCTTTCGCCCACTACTTCCAAGCGCCTGCTACGCAGGCTACTTCGATGCTTTTGTTTCTCACATTACAATCAAAATGAGAAGCCCTAACTGTGACAACGTGACATTAAAATGCTAATGTTTCGGCTGAAACTTCAGTAAAAAAAGGTAAAAAATAATTCCAACCAACTCGTATTATGAAAAATATGAAAAAGGCGTCAGCTTTCGTAGGTTAACCAGCCCCCTCACTAAGCTTCACCGCAAAGTCTTGTGACAGTTCCCGTCTCGATCACTCTAGAAAATAAAGTCAACTTTTCGGCTTGCCTTTGTAGGTTTTTTTTTAGATTTGCGTACCTTCGAACCGGTAGCTATTGCCGATTGTTACTCAGACACGCTTGCTCTTTTCCTTTAAAATGGATCATGTTCCCCAGTTTCTCTGGGACAGCCTGTTTCTCGTCTTCGACTCGACTCCTCGGACGGCGTAAGAAAATCTATTGCACTTGCAATATTTCTGTCATCAAATAAAAAAAATACCATTATTTTGATCCAATTATTTTAATCATTTAATCAATTATTGAATATAACCCGTTAATCTCTTCGAATGTGGCCGACAACAAAATTGTCATCGGATCGAGGACTGAGCCAAAGTTTTAAGAGATTTGCCTGATGACAGAAGACATAACAGATTTTGTTTTCACTTTTTTTCATGTTCGGAAGGAATGGAACTCATTGGCATCCACCTAGGACTGTTTTTACTTGCATAATGTACTCGGCACCAAAATTCATTGAAAACTGTTATATCATGAGGTTTCGGCTGAAAACAAAAAACTGCACCATATAGTGATGTACACATGTACGGTGGTAAAGTCAAAGAAATGAAGGATCTTTGGTTGACTGCGGGCTCACAGTCTCTAACATGAGCCCGCGCAACATTCTCGTGATATGATTTACCACATAACATGCATAAATCATAATACGCCCACAAGTCGCATTCATTACATGTGGAAGTCGTAAACCAGTCTCACAAAAAATGGATAAGGTATGATTGTATTCATTTTCTTTGCGGTGCTTTCTCGAGCTTTCTTCTCCCAGCCGGTTATTGCACTCTAAACTACTGAATAATTAGTCGGTCTGTAGAAAATATAAAAAAAGCCAAGTGGAAAAATGGATAAGACTGCTCCAAGGTTTTGGCAAAAATTTGCAAACCGGTTCGTAGAATCTGCCGTCAAACAGCAAAGTACAGCAGGGTTACATTGCACGCGCGCGCGTGATTTGAGGTTTCTAAACAGGTCGGTGATGACAAATGGTTGATAACCTGTCGCCTCTAAACCCGGCTCGTGTTTCTGTAAGAAATTACACATTACACTTCAGTCACACTGCTTGGTGTTAGATTTCTGACCTCTGAAAGCACTTAATTCACGAACGTCGTCGAAAGAAAACTACACATCTGAGTATCTGAGGAGTTCTTCAGATACAATTGTGAAACGGAATCTTTTTGTGGTTAATCCCTCGTGAGATCGTTGTGAACTTGGACGGGAAATCTGCTTGAATGTAGTGTTTAATCAAGCCTACTTCAGGACCTGCCATCCGCGTTTGAAAATCTGTGACAACTTTCTTGAAGAGGTTTTTAAACATCAAACAAACAAGACATAGAGAATGAGATCTTTACCATGGTCAAAACATCAGGAATGACTCCGAAATTACGCTGTGTTGAGGAAGTTCCTGAAAAACCAAAATGCAGTAACAGCCATACCACGAAGATCTTAATATTTGTGGTTTTCGTGTTCTTTGGTGTGTGTCAAGTTCAGATTCTTGTGAACAGAGAGCGATCCGTGGATGTTGCAAATATTTTACGCGAAATTCAAAAGGCGAGCGAACGCATCGAAGAATTCGAGTTGTCGCTTGTCAAAGTTGAAAACACCTTGGAGGTTCTTCATGCCGAGTTGGGGACAAAAGCAACGCTACACCGGCAGAAACGGCAAAGTAAAGGAGGTTCCTTTCGCCAGAAAATACGACAGATGAGGCAGTACCTGAAAAAGACACGACAGAGGTATGGCATTTTGCAATGTTTACGAGGTGATATTATACAGCAGTGCGTAATTTTGTTTTTGTTTTCGGCCAAATTAGCCTAGTTCCTGTTGAAAGAAACTCCCATGTTCTAGTAAATCATCAGCTACCAACGTGTAAGGATCATTTACGTTAAGCCCCTGCGGTTAAGTTGATTTTAATTGCAGTCTTCGAAGCGATGAAGCCGTTTCTGTTTTTTCGCAGATGGAACGCAGCAAATGATTATCAACTTTATCAAAGTTTACAGTGCTGTCAAATTGACCCCCCAACTTAACTGTTAAATTTTCTGTGCATTTTTCTGCGAATATCGTGTTAAAACGACATTCCACTCATGAATAACAAAATCATCGGTACCATCTGCCTTGCATACGCTTTGCAAATCACCCATACGAGCTTAGAATTCTCACCCAATTTTCTTTTTTGCAAATGCCTTTCTCTAGCTGGATATTGATTACACGGAATACGCGCTTTTCATGTAACAAAGCTAAGCCGAGAGTAAAATGATCAGTATATCGTTATCATAAGAAGCTTAGTGAAGTCTAGCGTAAAATAACAATAAACAAGGCAACCGGGCGGTCTGAAGGACATTCTAGAGGTTCAACTTAGATGGCTATCAAGGATAATGGGTCAATTCAGTGCGATAACTGTTGTTGTGTAGTATTGAAATTCCGCACGAAATAAACACATATTAAACACTTAAAGTATTAAGTATTTGTTACACCTTTGATCAATTTAAAGGTGGATGTTTACACTTTTACACGTGGAATCGAAACTAAATTTGGCTTTGGCCTGAGTTGGCGGAAAATCAAAAATGACTCCTAAGTTCAGCTGGCGATCATTCGATACCTTAGCACACGAGAGGGCATAACCCCCCCCCCCCCGCCCCCCGCCCTCAAATCATGAATAAAAGATAAAATAATAATAATAATAATAATAATAATAATAATAATAATAATAATAATAATAATAATATAGTTATAGTTATTATTAACATAAACAGCAACAGCAAAAACAACAGCAATAATAATAATAATAATAATAATAATAATAATAATAATAATTATAGTAATGATAATAATGATAATGATAATAATAATGATGATAACAATAACAATGAAAATAATAATAAAGAAGAAAACATTAAAGAAGATAATAATAACAGTGTAATAATTATAATAACGATAAGAATAATGATAATATTTCGTTTTCTAGCCTATCACGGTCGATGGACAAACTCGACATTTAAACACCNAATAATAATAATAATAATAATAATAATAATAATAATAATAATTATAGTAATGATAATAATGATAATGATAATAATAATGATGATAACAATAACAATGAAAATAATAATAAAGAAGAAAACATTAAAGAAGATAATAATAACAGTGTAATAATTATAATAACGATAAGAATAATGATAATATTTCGTTTTCTAGCCTATCACGGTCGATGGACAAACTCGACATTTAAACACCTGAGTTGAAAGAAAATTAGCTTATTATTATTCGGCCAGTTGAACCGCATTTGTAATGGTTTCCTCATTTCATTACCGTCGCATTTTAATTTAGGGTAGCTTCTCTTCGCTTTTTATCGCGTTTGAACGTAAATGATTTGAAGGAAACGTTATTTCCATACAGATGTTTAGCTTATTTATTAAGTCTTGTGTCAATTTTATTAGTGTTCATGCACTCTTCATTGTGGTTTCCATGCGTAAAATTTTCATCAAAGATCATAAACCAGTTTTACCCTTCCAGTCCTCAGTGGATATAGGAACAGCCTCCTTCCAATTGTTTAGATTGTAATATACACAAAACGCAAATACTGCTTCATGAGCAAGTTACGCTATTGTCACTACTACTTACTCAAAAGTTAGGACCACCTTAGTGTACAGCATAATAAATAAATCGATGAAAAAGTTTTTCTTCAACAGATTCAAAAGTAAAAAAGTCACAGCACGTGACTTAAAATCCTCTCAGTGAATGCTGAGACAAATGTCAACAAAGCTTAATTCCTCCTTTTGCATATAGTTATAAAGCATGAAATTTGAATGGAGGTGCCACGTCAAGGAGGAAATCTTAACAACTTAACCGTACAGTCGCGATCCGCAGTTCGTTTTAGATGGATCGAATATTAAGCATATAGTCTCATTTTGACTTCTTTGCACTCTGTTTCCTGGCTACGAGGCACAAGCATTTCAGGTAAAGCGTTTCATTTCCTCCAATCCCGCGTCTAAACCTCAGTATATAGAAGTGAACAACGAAGTGAACTCTGCTACAAGTATCTGTTGTAGCTTAAGACACTTTTTTAGGCGCACGTATCAAGCAAAATATGTGCGCTTCCCATTAAGACAATCAGGGAAGGATTAAGCAAAGTTATTAACCTCTTGCGTTAGCCTTTAGGAATGTGCGGAAAAAATAATTGGGACGGACATTCTTAAGTGAGCTTCTAATCCTTGTTGAATTTAATTTGTCGAAATATTTTAAAAAGGAAGTTGTGCCAACCGCAGGTATCATGTCATCTTAAAATAGCAAGTTTCTTGTCTAGTGTACAGACAAGATGTAATCTTCTTTTGGTAACCAATATGAAGATCAAGGATATTTTTTAGTCTGCAGTTTAACGGCTGAGGAAAAGATACTCGTTGCTGGAGAGTCGAATTCAGCGCTGGTATGTAAGACGAGAATTGCTTCAAGGTTTTAACTTAAGACGTTAAACCAGAGAGGGGACTAAAATTGTCGATGAGCAAGGCCTACGCTTCCAAACTCTATAAGAGCTTAATAGACCAGTTGTTGCGTAACAACGGCTTGAAAAACCATCCATAGTGGCTGCTGCTTTTACCTTTTAATAAAGAGCGTTTTATTAATGAAAAGTTACCAAAATAATGCGACATTTTTCTGATACCTTCCTCCGAAAATTTCATGTATGACAGTGAGGAAACGGAGGCCATCTCGAAAAGTGGGAGGGTTTAAGCAAATTTCCTTCTTACTGTCAACTTAATTGCTCTTTAGTTTCACTGACGAATTCTTGTAGGAGCAGTAATCAATATTGAAACTCAGTTGGTCACAGGCATAATTTCAGGGCCAGAATCACAAGATCTTNAATGGAGGTGCCACGTCAAGGAGGAAATCTTAACAACTTAACCGTACAGTCGCGATCCGCAGTTCGTTTTAGATGGATCGAATATTAAGCATATAGTCTCATTTTGACTTCTTTGCACTCTGTTTCCTGGCTACGAGGCACAAGCATTTCAGGTAAAGCGTTTCATTTCCTCCAATCCCGCGTCTAAACCTCAGTATATAGAAGTGAACAACGAAGTGAACTCTGCTACAAGTATCTGTTGTAGCTTAAGACACTTTTTTAGGCGCACGTATCAAGCAAAATATGTGCGCTTCCCATTAAGACAATCAGGGAAGGATTAAGCAAAGTTATTAACCTCTTGCGTTAGCCTTTAGGAATGTGCGGAAAAAATAATTGGGACGGACATTCTTAAGTGAGCTTCTAATCCTTGTTGAATTTAATTTGTCGAAATATTTTAAAAAGGAAGTTGTGCCAACCGCAGGTATCATGTCATCTTAAAATAGCAAGTTTCTTGTCTAGTGTACAGACAAGATGTAATCTTCTTTTGGTAACCAATATGAAGATCAAGGATATTTTTTAGTCTGCAGTTTAACGGCTGAGGAAAAGATACTCGTTGCTGGAGAGTCGAATTCAGCGCTGGTATGTAAGACGAGAATTGCTTCAAGGTTTTAACTTAAGACGTTAAACCAGAGAGGGGACTAAAATTGTCGATGAGCAAGGCCTACGCTTCCAAACTCTATAAGAGCTTAATAGACCAGTTGTTGCGTAACAACGGCTTGAAAAACCATCCATAGTGGCTGCTGCTTTTACCTTTTAATAAAGAGCGTTTTATTAATGAAAAGTTACCAAAATAATGCGACATTTTTCTGATACCTTCCTCCGAAAATTTCATGTATGACAGTGAGGAAACGGAGGCCATCTCGAAAAGTGGGAGGGTTTAAGCAAATTTCCTTCTTACTGTCAACTTAATTGCTCTTTAGTTTCACTGACGAATTCTTGTAGGAGCAGTAATCAATATTGAAACTCAGTTGGTCACAGGCATAATTTCAGGGCCAGAATCACAAGATCTTAGCAGTCTTCCCAAAAAGTTCTCCTTTGGACAAGGGAAATTAAACAACTTTTACTTCATGATCGACTACAACGTGAAACTTCCTATTGCGATGGGGATTTATTGGAAATCGCAAGCACTCGACAAATAAATTTTCTTGCTCTTTCTAAACTTAGCTTCAGGATTTGCTCCGACCAAGAACTCAATTCAAGAAAGAAACGCTACAATTCCCACGTTCGATATATGCTACGTAAAACTATGTAAAATAATTTTGAGTATTCGAGCCTCTTTTCACCGATTATTCCTCCACAAGACATGTGATGTGGTTCTTTAATTTACGTTGTGGTCTCTTCAGCATGGTATTGTTGTTTGCGAATAGACAGTTTGCACAGATATCTTATGGGGTCATTCATTCTTCAGTTGTATGTTTGCCCCCATGATCCGAGAAGTAACAACGACGCTTAAAGTTCAGTTTGTTAAAAAGCATTAGAAAATGGCTCATTAATCGTATCGAATTATTATTATAATTTCCATTAGCCTTGATTTATTATTATTATAATTATCATAATTATGTATTAAGTTGTTTGTTTTTCCTCGCGAGTTTTCAGTTGTTTTGAGTACATTTTAACTTTGTATTTGGCCCACATTGAAAACAACTGTTTTTTTTGTTTATTTTTTTCCAGTGTTATGTTTTATCTTGTTTATTATTATCGTGTCGTGGTAATGAGCTTCCTAAACGTTACTTGCTACGGTCCCTACAGTTTTCTAGTGTTTCCTCTTGTGGCACGATGGATGGACTACTGGCAATCGATCCCCTTTCCTCTTTTTCTGGTGAGCAACCGATCACGCTGGTTTGCTGTAGAACTCAGGGTTCCTCTGCTC